TATATATATATATATATATATATATATATATATATATATATGTGTGTGTGTGTGTGTGTGTGTGTGTGTGTGTGTTAAACTTTTAAACAGCCATATGCAAAAAAAACAAAAAAACATGTATAAACCAAAATAAAGCAGCTTAAAATGAGTTTTTATTTAAAAACTATACTGGCATGATGAAATATAAATTGTATAAATCTTCCAAAAGTCATTTAGTGTTTCAGTCATTTTCTTGTGGAAACTTTCTAAACTGTCGGACAATTTATTTCCCACTGGTTTTCAACTGGGATGATGTCTCATCGGCGTGCAAATGGCTCCTTGCACAGCAGATGTAATCACGAAGAACAATGTTGCATTGATTTGCAGAAACTCTTCCCTCCACAGAGAGATCTGTATAAAAAGCCTCAGAGTCATAGATCCCCTTTGGGTTCCTTTCTTTTAATTTACCGTCTGTCTGTACAGAAACAGAATGCAACAAGCAGCTTTTTTTGGAAAGGTAAAGAAAAAAGATTTGTCATATAATCAAAACAGAAACATGTAGCAGTACCACATACATTCTATAATTTCGGGTTTTTTTTCCCTGAAGCTGAATGAATTGTTAAATCTTTCAAACAAATCATTTTAATAATTCAAAATTTAAGTGCTCAGAATAAAAATAAATAATGCTAATTAAGTAATGCCAAAACGTAATTTTTGCAACATCCAGTGTTTATTTGATTTTATTTCTCTTTGTCCCCGTGCCTAAAGCATGCCTCTTGTAACGTCCCACAGTTGCCAGTTGAGCTGCAGCGTTTAGTATGTGGGCAGGGGGAGCATTGAGGTGTCCACGTAACCGCTGGCTGCCCTGTCGTCCAGGACTTGCATAGCAGGGTGAATGCAGGCTGCAGATTTCTGCGGGGCAGCACTGATGGAAGCTGTGTATCCACTATCAGTTGGTCCACTCGTCTGCTGGTCCTCATAAGAGCAAATGTCCATCTCCTCTACAGAAACCTTTCTCTGGAGCAGCAGCAGTCTGTTATTATTATTCACCCCCTTCACCTTGCTGTATTCCTCAGCGTGACGCCTTTCAGGACAGTCCTTTTCTGAATCTGAAGAAACAGGGTGGAGAAGCACCATATTCGCATCGTTGACTCTCTGGACTTCAACGTACTCAGTGGACCGAACAGAGGGCAGCTGAAGGCTGGCAGGCGCTACTTTCTGGCTGATATTAGCATCACAGTTGGCCTGAAGATACTGATGGGCCCCCGTCTGGGGATGGAAAACATGAGGGTGCGTGTTGCCACAGCTATACTCTTGATAGTTTAACCTATGAACCTCGTTGTGGCCAGGTGGAGCAAAGTGAGAAGATAGAGCACCTGTGGGGTACAGGTTGTCAGAAAGGCAGTGCAGTTTGGTCATCTCAGGTGAGTGTGGTTGGTTCAGAGGGCCTGGCCTATTCTCAGTCTGTGGAGACAACAATGAGGACCAGGTCTTCACCTTCTCACCAGGCGTATCAGGGCTACCCACGCTTGCATGAGAATATGTTAGACATTTGTCCTCTTGGGATTTCTTGGGCCTTTTTAAATCCATCTCCATTCGACCACTCTGCTGATCCACGAGCAGCGTGCGACTGTCACAGCTGCCCCGACCGGAGTCGCTGTCCGAAGTGGAGCATTCAAATTTAAGGCTGCCATCAGGTAGGTTTTTGTTCTCCTCCAGAATCAGCTCTTGCTCCTCTGGGACATACACCTCTAAGTACTCCACAAGAAAGTCCTCATAGCTAGTTGTGGTTGGAGGGAAATCAGACACTACCAGGGAGCTGAAGACATCCCTGGACTTTCCATTCTGCAAAACAAAAACATTTAGAGACAATGATGCAAATGCTTCCACCTTTCCTTATTTGATGCGCAGCACGATTTAAGGCTGCTTACCTTGAGAAGCTGTTTATCAAATCCCTTGATTTTAGGTCCAGGGATCGGAGGCAGAATGCAGTGCTTCAGGCTACAGAAATAAAAAGGTAGAAGCAAATAAGTTACAAATTAACTTTCAATTTATTTTTCTGGTATACTGTGAAAAAACTTGATTGAAACTGAGTGTAAGGCTGAAAATCTTTTAACACTGGAAAAAAAGAAGGTAATACTGAGTTCAGCAAGGAGTGATTAGGAGTGATACACCTCATTTGACATATATTACAGTGTGTATATATATATATATATATATATATATATATATATATATATATGTATATATATATATACATATATATATATGAGACTGAGGCTTGGAGGTTGGATGCACACTTAAAACAATTTCTTTTATAAAGCTTAGACCATTTAGAAGTAAAATAACAACAAAGGTAAAGCTTTCAGTGACTGCAGTGCATAATTTTACTGCTTTATTTTCAGAATTTGGAAAAAAGTCTGGGGAAAATTCTTTCAGACTTTGTACAGTGGCCTGAAAAGACGTGATTTTCAGGCTCTCAGGCAGCACTGCAATAAAACTAACAGTAACTTTGTGCTAAAGGTCCTTGAAAGTGACTAAACTAGCTTTCTGACAATTGTCATACCGAAACTGAACTAAAATTGGAGGCACAATCTGGTGTGTACTCGTGGGTGGGTGTATTAGTGCGGCTCTTCTCAATTGTTTGAAACCACCATTGCTCTGTCCAAAAATATCAGGTTACTGTTTGACCCCCATCAGTTTGAAACTTGTGTATGTACATGTTGGGACATAGTTACCGGTACTTTCTCGCTCATGATCAACGCTCATTTGTTCTTGTTGCAACAACCCAGGTTGCACAATGCATAACGTAAAATGTTTTGTGCTTTAGATAAAAATAAAGGTCATTTGCTGATTTTACAAAATCAAACTCCAGACTGTCATAAACTAAGCAATAACAAAATCAAGGATGAAAAATACAAAGAGCTGCAAAAAAGTTTTAGTGCTGCCAGACAGCTGCATGATTCCTTTCAAGTTGAGATTCAAGGTTAGTTTAGATATGACATATCTTCATCTGGCCTCTTGGAATAGGTTTACACAAAAAAAATCTCATCCATCACACACTATTTCCCTTATTCTCATTGTTGCGCAACTCAGTGAGGCAGCAGTCCAAGCAATTTTAGACTCAATTTGCAGTGAACTGCAAAGTGCAACGCTTAGAAACCAGGCAGTGCAACTTATTTAAATACTTTCCCTTCCAAGTTTTGTGTACTAAAATTACATATGCAACAGGCCCTTTGTCTCAAACCCTTTCAGATGATTATTCACCCCTCAGTCTATCGAATGATAATCAGATATCAACAGTAAAAAATTTGTTCTAAACTTTCTTTTAGAGATGTACAAATGATAACAATGATGTTACTTTGACTAACAAATAAGTCTGACATTGGCGCTCTATCTGCCATGACCTGTGCTTTTTTGTTAGTTTGTTCGTAGCCATATCCTCTCACCTGTCTCCACGTCATCATCAACCCCGTTTCATATATTCTTCTTCACTTCTCCTCCACTCGTTATTCCCTGTGTTTCTTCGTGCCTCGTTGTGATCCTCTAGAATTGTGGGTGAGGGTTTGTTTTGTTTCTCAATAAATAACTTGTTTTTTTCTTGACGTCCTCGTGCTAAGTCTGCATTCCTGGGTCATAACCTCATGGCAATGTGAAACTATTACTTCTTACCAGGTCGGAAATAGTCTGTTTTTATGTTTTTTTATTTTTATTTTAACAATCTGGCAAATCTAAAAAATAAAATTAAATTAAATTAAAAAAAAAAAAAACTTTCCAAAAACCCTCAGAAATAATTATTACAACCTCCCTGTATGCCCCAATTTCCATGTGATAAATCACTGCATTAGTGCACTGAACATATTCATATCTTTGATGGCGGCAGAATGACTGAACAATACTGAAAGGTTGCGTGAACAAAGTATGATTGGCCTTACGTGTGGCTGTTCACATGTATGACCCAGATGAGGATGAGAAAGATGAAAACAGAGAAGATCATGATGAGGATCCACATAGACTTTTCCTGATGGATATCTGCAAGAAGCAATAAAACAAAATAAAACAGTGTTGGAATAATTGCCCAGTCACTATGTTATCCTCCTGTCAACAATTTCTAAACAACATATTGCATTAAAATGGGCTTTCACATTTTAGCACAGGTAATTAAACTTCATACATGCTAGTAAGGATATGGTTAATTAGACATATAGAGCACAAATAGAGAGTGTGACAACCATGGCTGTGTTTGTTGATTAAAAAAAAACAACCCTGCATCTTTAAATATGATTCTTCTTCTTTGTTTTGATGAACTGAAGATGATTAAATAATGAATTATGTCTATTTGGGATTAACCCATACAGAAACAAATACCACTCTGTTCTTTGACCATAATGTGACTTTGATATTGCAAAACTTTACTCAACGAAATCTTTCAGCATGGTTACTAAAATGTCAAATTTGTTAATAAATTAATGCATTTCCTTGTATGAATGTGACACATCAATAGATCTCTTACAGTCAGGCACTTTGATGTAGGCTGAGTCGCTCCATTCGCTCCAGAAGCCATGATCGGGCTTACAGCGCACCTGAACCAGGTACGCTCCACCTGAGCGAAGGCTGTAAATCTTAAACACTTTCTGTTGGCCGGCAGGGTGTTCCTGGAAGAAGGAAACAAACAAGCAAACATAACGACGCTGACTCAAACATGTAAATGTTGGACGGTGTGCAACTGGAGACTTTGGTTTTTGTGAAGAAACAGCACTAACGACATCAAACTTTCATTTTGCACATGCGAAAGACAAATAATTCAGCCAGACAGGCCACTCTCTTACTCACCTCCCATTCATCCTCGCCTTCCAGCTTGGTTCGGAGCTCGTAGATGAGGGTGATCCAACCAGAGCGGGTGTCAGCTTTTTGTGGGGGCTCCCAGGACACTCGAAGGTAGGGCAAGTTTTTGTTCCAGGTAATATTCACCGTTAACTTCTCTGGGGCGTTGGGCTTGACTGAGGGCAAAGAGAGAACATGTGAATAACAGTTAGGGAAGACAAAAAAAGAACAAACAATGGACGTTTGTAACAAAAAACACAATTGAAGAAAACTGAGCTGTCTCTGTGTCCTCTGGTGTACTAAAGCAGATCAAAGGACACCTCCAGCGGAGGAACACTGTCAATGCAGTCGTGACCTCTGAAATATTTGCTGACGTATGTGGGATGACATGGCTGAGATAAGTTGAGCTGTTTAGACTTTACATTGTCAGCTCAGAAACTTAATTAGCTATGTTGAAGTAAGACATGAAAGCAGATACTATGAAGGTCTGATATGCAGTTACTGTTGGAGACAAAGGGTAAGAGGCTCTTCTGTAGACAAGCAGCCTCAAGGCTAAGGTGGATTGTTCAGTAGTTACACCACAATATTCTTGCATTAGCAGCACAACTGGATGAGCCAGTCCTCTTTAATCATTTTTGTATAAGATAGACAAGAAGGAAAGGGCTGGAAGTACTTAAAAACTTTTTGTCTAAATAGTTCCTGTTTTAAAAATTCTCTTTGCAGGACTCTTAAAAAAAAAAGCTTTTTATGTACCATTGGTTCTTAAAGTCACTTAGTTTAATTTGCAATATTGATCTAATTATCATCCAAAACTGATGGACTCTGTGTATGTCAAGACAGGTCCCTCAAAATGGACGAAACAGCAATACTGTAATACTTGCACAGTATAAGGCCTGTCACGATAACAAATTTTGCTGGGCGATTAATTGTCTCAGAAATTATTGCGATAAATGATAATATTGTTTGAAATTTGACAATAATTAGTCATTATTGTCAAATTTAAGAAGAAAAGTTGATTTGTTTTGAGTGTAGTACCTTTTTTGACCACTGGATGGCAGTATTATACTGTTTGAACCGAAGGATGGATAGTGAGGGAGCAGCATGTCTCTTTAAGAAAAATGGGAGGGAGGCCCCTTGACATGATATGGGTTGTCCTCTTTCCAGTTTTCAAAATGGCAAATGCTCGGTGTGGTTTGAGCTCTTTAGCATAGCATTTTTCACAGAAACCTTTTACTTTAAAAAATCAGTAAACAAGTTCTCAGCTTCTTTTTGCAGAGAAAAACAACTATTTACATGAAGGTATGGGTTTCAACCGTGAATTTTGGAGCTTCGACAAGACAGAGATATTTTCCCCGAGGTCAGTCTGTTAGCTTAGCTCGTAGCTTAGCTTCTCAGCTTAGCTGCTTTAAACGATCCAAAAACGTAATTTTGGACAGTTAAAACGGATTTTAAAGAAAAAAGAGAAAGGGAGGGGTCCGTGAAGAACACCGGAGTTGAGCATTTTGTCATCCAGTGTCTTCAGTAGAAAGAGAGAGACACGAAGAAACGATAAAGCCGATAAAAGAAAATGTGGTTGATAATTTTCATTTATCATGTGATTAATTGATTTAATGTTTGCGAAGTGAGGGAGTGTTTGTTTGTTTGATTTATTGTTATGTATTGCGAAAGGCCTACACAGTACTCTAATAAGTGACAGCAGACCAATCTCATATTATATTCTTCTGGTTTTTATCGTTTGATATATATAGGCAATACTTCATTGTCAGTTTAGTTGAACTGTAACATAGTAACGTTGATAAAAAGGCAACCTTCAGTCAGCAGATACAGTTGGGAGGAAGCAGGGAAGTAAAACTGCAGCAGAATAACCTGCTGTGGTACAAAACACTCGGGCCAAGTGTCCTTTACCTATGTAGACAACATCGATGTCGACCGGGTCGGAAAATGTGCTTCCCCGAGCGTTGGTGGCCACAACGGTGATGTTGTAGTTGACCCAAATGGACGTGTCATTCTTGTTGAAGAAGCAGGAATTCTTTCCAGCCGTGCGGTAATCGGGACACTCGTGCACAGTGTCAGAACTGTAAAAAGAGGAAGTAGGACAGCTTGTAAATCTCAGTGTTTGTTACACTGGAAGGACATTCTGTATTCTTCATGCTACAATTTTTGAAACTGTGTGTGATTGAATAAGAAAGATAGGAAAAAGAGAATGATTCAAAAATGAGCGAGGGACTTATTTTACTTCTGCACTGCAGGCAGAAATGGGGAACAAAACAATCGGAGTCGTTAACTGCAACAAAATAAATAGTTGGACAACTATTGTGATGAAAATATAACACCTGTGTAATTTTCATCCTTTTTCCTAACCAGCTTATGTCTCCACTTCTCCCTGTCTATGATGTTACCTCGTCTTTAGCCCATTTTGATTAAATTCAGGAGCACTTTATTCTCACTCTGGATGCATATAAATCATATCAAAACAAATTGTATAACTCTCAGCTGTAGAGCGTGAAACAACCCCAAAGACAGAACGATACAATGAAAAAACAGATTAAACCATAACGTACATCCAAAGCGCTGTATGTACGACCAACAAAACAACAAAAAAAAATATTGGTAATAAAAGTAATTACATTGAACACCTAAGATAAAGAGATTTAGATTGACAAAAGGCAAAAACAACTAAAGTTAATTTATCATAACAAGACCTTAAAAATAGTTTTGCTGACATGATGCGTACTTAGCAACCACTGCAGGTATAAACTCCTTTAGACCTGGGTGGTTAAATAAACCCATCTTTGGGTGTTTGTTTAGGACAGACGGGGTCATGCCGTTGTTACTGTAGCAGCAGTTGGTACTTATTTGGGGGGAGGGACGGGGGACCTGTCCAGTTATTCCCTCATAAAACATTAAGAGATAGTGAGACCTTCTACGTGTTCTCCTTTCATCTGGCTGGTAAGTTCTGTTAAACCAAACAAACAATGATAGTTTAAAATATATTGCAGAGAAAAATAAAATTCTGGAGTAAAAAAAAAAGTAATTAAATAAAGCGAGCTCAAAATAAGTACTTATATTAAAACCAAATCCAGAGAAGTTTTTAGTGGTTTAATATGCTTTTTTCCACACACACACGTATCTTGTATGTATTGGGTACATGCCCAACACATACAAAATAAGTACCCACTATGTACAAAGTAAATACCTGTACATTCCAGGTAAGTATATAGTATGCTATATGTTCCTGAAACATATCAGGTCTATTACCCAATACTTAGCCAGTACATACAACGTAAGTACCTGGTACTTACAAGGTATGTATACCCAGCCATAAAATATATGTACCCTGTATGTACCTGGTTAATACCAAGTAACCAACCAGTATTTTTTTTTTCATTAATTCAACCTTTATTTAGACAGGTTAATCCCAGTACGTACAGGGCAAGTACCTAGTACATACTGGGAAAGTACCAGGTATTTACCAGGTAGTGCCAGGCTACATTATATAGCTACAATAGAAGTTGTGACATTTGCAACACAAATGTTTAACTGATTGCTTCTGAACCTTTAGATGTCCCTTCTAAAGGCAAGGGTGAAGGGCTGTCTATGTATTAAATAAAAGTCTAACGTCATTAGTAGGATTAACACCTCTGACGCAATTTTCTGATATAATGTTGTGAATGGGCCCATATAGTTTTACGAAGGCCTGCTGGTTATTTCAAGATGTGTTAAATTGCTGATTAATAATAATAAATGAATCTGCACACAATCAAGGTGAATTGGTTTAGTCTTGACTCTTCAACTTTATTTTTTTATTATCATCATATATTTAATATTATTAGTTATTGTTTACATTTTATGATTATATATTTGACGTACTGTACTTTTTTGTTAAGTTATGTAATAAATTGTCATTTTGTGCCTTATTGTCTTCATATCTCTTGGACCAGGGTCAATGTGCTCAATATAATGGTACTTCTTCCACAATGGTGTACCACAAGGTTCAGTCTTAGGACCCACCCTCTTCACATTCTACATAAGTAATGTAGGTCAGATCATTCCTGATGCATCCTTACATTTCTATGCTGATTATATAGTTGTTTATTGTCGAGCTAAAACAGTTGCTAAGGTTTTCCAGCTTTTGCAATTTGCTTTTGACATCATCCAATCAGATTTGTTCTGTCTCAAACTTGTGCTAAACGCTAACAAAACCAAAGGGATGTTGTTTTCAAACAGGAAGTCAGTACCAGCAGTCCTTCCTTCTATTTTATCTTTGAAAGGTGTACCCATTGAGTTTGTAGATTCTTACAAATACCTGGGTATTTTGGTTGATTCCCATCTCTCTTTTAAGCCCCATGTGTCAACTTGGTAAGGAAAATGAAAGTTAAACTGGGTTTCTTTTTCAGAGATAGATCCTGTCTAACTCTGAACACTAGGAAACATGTTGTAACTACAACTTTCCTTCCCTCCATTGACTACGATGACATTATTTATATGAATGCTCCTACAAGCACCCTGCAGATGTTGGAATCTGTCTATGACGGTGCACTAAGATTCATAACTGGCTGTACTACTACCGTACCCATCATTGCACCCTGTATTCACTGGTTAACTGGACATCATTAACTTCACACCGACTCTCCCACTGGTACATTTTCATCTTTAAATCACTTCTTGGTCTGCTGCCTTCATACAACTCCTCCTACATGTCTCTGTGTGAGTGCAGCTACAGCGTGCGCTCTCAGGACATTATTACCTGCAGTGTTCCCTCAGTGAGGACTGAACTTGGCAAAAGGGCCTTCTACTCCGCTCCTGTTTCTTGGAATATCTTACAAAAATATCTGAAGCTCTCGACCTTGACCTCTCTAAGTGGCTTCAATGCTAAGTTCATGGGAAAAACAAATGTAGACATGTTCCTGTTTTTAGTGTTTTATAACGCTTTATAATGTAGCTGTTTTTGTTTCATTTTTTAATATCATTTTCTTTGATTTATTTTTCAATTTATTTGCTTTCTTTTATGATTGTCTACTGTTGTCATCATTCTTTGTTAAAAACAAGTCTCTCTTGTAAATGAGTCCTCGAGGCTCAATGAGACTAACCTGTATAAATAAAGGTTGAATGAATGAATATCTTTTGCTTGAAGTTTAGTGTTAGAACAACAAAATAATGTATTAAATGCATTTGTATGATGGTGGTGAGGAGGTAAATAGTTTAGGATGTTGTTCATGCCATAGATTTATATTATCCATTCCTTTCTCAGTCTTGGCTTCCTGTGCCTTTTTCATGTCTTGATCTGGATTTGTAATCAGCACACCTGTTCCTCATGTTCATCATCCCTCTGTGTAATTATAGTTACGGCTTTCCTTTGCCCATTTGTGAGTTCTTAATGTTGTCTAGGCCTCTTCACCGTTGTGTTTTCAAGAAAATGATTGTTTTCATTACCAGGTTTGTAATCTCTTAAATCAGCATTTGTGTCTTCAAGCTCTTATCAGCCCATTATAGTGCTTGTTTTCTCTCTGCAGTATTTTGGAGCCTTAGACTTGTGATATATGGTTGACTTGCTGTATTTATGTATACGTTTGTTAGCATATTTGCTAGAAAATATACTTTTAAATGGAGGTATTTGTTGGAACTTACACCACGTTTTTCAAACTTAGACCTAAATAATTTTAAATGTTGATTCGGACAAACATTTCAATTCAAGCTTTATGTAAAT